TGCAATCAAATTTCCCAATCTTAAAGAAAAAAATCGTAAAGATTCTCCGCAAGGACGTGATCAAACGAGCATAACATCATTTCACAAACTTTTTGCACTCAAATCCACATCATGACCTTAGTTCTTGTTTCTATGCCATACATCATGCATTTCGTCATTATAGATACGTAGATTATGTATTAATTTCTACTAAAATTAAGTACGTTCATTCGATTGAATTAATCATGTCCTCTTCCAAACACTTGGGGTTACGTACGTAACGCTACTACTAGAAATACGTCTACCCTCTTATACAATTATATGCCGTCTCTCAAAGATTTGGTTGCGCGCCCATGATATCCAAAAGTCAATCTCAAACCTTCTTAAATTTATTTTCTTTTTTCCTTTTTTACGCTTAGGAAATATATTTGTCAAAGGTATTTCTTGGATACATGGTCTTATTTTGGGGTGCTTTTTAATAGCTCTAAAAAGATATTTTACAAAAAATACAATTTGCTCATTCCGTAAAAAATATTTAGTAAAGTTTGGAATGACAGCTCTAACAGCCACGTGGATGTCAAACATACGATGCCAAGTCATCATCCTTTTGGGGGGTGGGGGTGGGGGGTCTAGACCATCTTGAATGTTCTTACAATGACTATGTCTATGTGTCCTTAATTATTAAAATGGAAGATAATCCTCTCAAGAATATAAAATATGGGCTTTAGTTGGGTACTCTCAAGGATATATATGCTTAACAACTCAATCATATAACAATAATATTCTATTCTTTCACAAAGTGATGACTTGTGGAAGTTTGGTTTCATTAATAGGAAGAAGCTAGTATCTCAAGACTTGATATTCTATTCTTTCTCTCTCTTGTTCAATCTTGAAAGATAAAAAAAGAAAAGAAACGGATGTGACCTTGGAGAACACAGATACTATTTGCAGTTATTCTATTTTAGAGAGACATTTCTTGGCATCTATGCCATTATTGTACACATCTTTTGCGCCTTGAGAATTTTATTTTCAGTTTGAGGAGTAGGGGTGGGTTTTAGAGGACAAATGCCATATAAAGTTAGGACAAACCCTAAATCTAGGGGTGTATATGCTACAGTAGTGGAAAAGGATACATGCATGAGATTGACTACCTTGACTATTAATTAGCTACGTGACTCGATCCCATGAGAATTTTTTTTTTGGTAAATGAAAGATTTTTATTCATCACCAAATGTAAAAATGAATGTACATCATGAATCTCATCATATGTATGAGATATCTAAACTGACATCAAGAGTTCAAAGGAAATAGAACTCAATCAAAAAAAATCTCAGCAACTAACAGCAGCTGAAAACCTGCTAATTGCTCTCCTCAGCTGAAATCCCATGAGAATTATATCTACATGATTAGTGTTGCGCTTTTCTACGTGGGTTCTACTTCTTCTTTCGGATCAGAGCACTGGATCTTATTCTTGGAATTATTTGAAAAAAATAAAATGAACATTGTTGTCATGCGATAAAGAGTGCTTTTGTTGTGTTTTTCTATTGCATAAATACATTTGAAAAGTTTGTAATTTTCTATTGCAATAAAGAGTGCTTTTCGTTGTATGATATGTATTTATTTTCCATCACAAGATGCTGTGTTAAGTAAGCATCGTCATGCGATGTTTCTTTCATCAGAGCTTCTCAAGGTCAGCGTCAAATGTTGAAAACCTTAAAAACTCCTCGATCCCACTGTCATATTAATAAAGATGTGAACTACTCAGCCTCTTGTGTTGTTGTCACGAAAAATATCAGTGCATGTAGAGAATATTCACCTTGCGTCAAGGCTCGCACCCACTAGTCAACATATATATTGACTTATTCTTGATGTAGATGACTAGATTCTAAAGCTTTGCTGCGTCTTAAATAGAAATCATAATGGGCCGGCCCATTTTAGAATCTAGCCCAAGGCTTTAGCATGCACCCTTGTAGTAACCTCGAGTGTCACTATACTGACGTCAAATAGACCGAGTATTGCGAGAACTCCCTTGACGTGAAATGATATAAATCTTTGTTTAGCTCAATGGTTATGCAGTTTGTCGCCCGTTATTGCATTTTCCACGTCAGAAGTTTGCTTGAGAAAAAGGATTTGATTTGATTAGGAATTTATGCACTTCTATTTTGGCAAAGATATATTTTTCTATATAAAGCTTGAATGGTCAAGGTGGAATTGGGCTTTAACTTAACTGTGGAGTCTGACCTGGGCCTGAATATATTATGGGTGCTCCGAATGAGCCTGACGCCTGGGCCGTTGACCCCTGCTTCACACTTTTATGGATAAAATGTGGAGAGCAAATTTTTTTATTTCCCTCTTCTTTCTTAGTATTAAATCATGGAGGATCCTTCAGGATCGAAAAACACGATTATTAATTTAAAAGAATAAAATGAAATATATATATATTATTGCATGACAGTTGTCAAAAGACTCCGTCAATGCCCCCACAAGGTAAGAACTCTTTCTGAGAAGTAACCTGGATTCCCATAGGGCTATCAATTTTTAAAAAAATTTCCTTGGGAATTCAGGGTCTACCATGTCAAAAGACCATGTCAATGCACCAAAAACTCGAAGCTATGCTAGAGATTGTGGGTTATAACTTTATGTTCTAACAACAAGGTTAAAAGTTCTGTGTTTAGTTTAGTAAGAACAAATTCCTAAATCCCTTACTACTCCTTCAGTGAACCTACATAGAGTGCAAATGCAATTTCCTTGAACATTGAACATTATTTCTATCCGCATAAAAGTGAGATTTTACCGTATTTTCAACAGTAAATCAGGCTGCAGATAGTAGTATTCATTGGACCAAGCCAAAGTTTGTTGGGTGTTAAAACTAATTTTTGCTGTATGCCTAACCCACTTGTCCTACTTAAATGCATGTGAACTTTTTTTTTGTCTTTATTCTGTAAAGGGTCTTGTTACTGCATCAAACACAGAAATAGATGATTAAATTGCACCCTTGGATCACCTTATTCTCACTCTCCCCAGTCCTAAACAAACCTGTGTAAGTGATAGGACGAAGCTTACCTTTTTGTCTCTTATCATGGGAATCATTTAAGCTAGGATGAAGCAATGCAATTAGTTTTCGAGTCAAAGTAAGAGAGGAGAGCAACACCGTCATTTGAAATCAAAGGAGAAGTTTGACAAAGGAAAATTAATAAAGACGGCGGCCGACAACTAGTACGCCACCCTTTGATTACCCTTTTGAAGACTAATTAGCTCAGGTTTATTACCAAAATAGTATGATTAATTATTATAATTCACATGAAGAAAAGTAATTAAGAGTGTGGAAGGCTATGACCACGTGATACTCAATGTTAGTATTGTTATATTGTTTCGTGATGTGAGATGGTTAATATATATATAATTAAGTTGTGATATTTTGACTTTTTCTCAACTCTGACTACAGTCATCTCGCCTTAATTGGTTCATCTCTTACGATTCTTTTCTTTTTATTTATTTATGAAAAGTGCTTCCCGGTTAATTATTGGAAGCCACGCTCTTTGAATAGGTTTTTAGATCGTATTAGTTTGATTACCAAATTAAGGTATCTAACAAAGGGTTTGATTGAGAAAGGAGATGAAAAATAAACTATACTTAATTAAACTAAAGTAAGGATTTGTTCATGTGTAATTAAACTGCAGCTAAAAATACAAAGTTACTAAAGCATAGACTTCTCTAAAAGGAGAGAATGATCATTATTCATGCACCACGTGGGAGTGAAGAACATGAATTGAAGAAGGTAGCAATAGTCAATAAAAATAACATGATGTATATATCTTTAGTTATCAAGTGTATCCACTATTATATATGCAAGGTGATATAATATTTACACAGCAATAACAAACGAAAATATGATTTTCTTCCCAGTAAATTTCCCCCCTTAATTGTAATAGATTGTTGTACTAGATTGTTGGCTAGCTGTCAATCACCCGATCTTTGAAGAACAACTATTAAGGAGATAAGAAAACCATAACAAAAGAGTTCTAGCTTTATTATGAATCATAATATTAGTTGGTCTAGAATCTACAGTAATATAATTAAATGTATCAATATAAAAGTACTGATCTACCGTCTAGTCCCTCATGGATGGGGAAGAAGAGCATTAATTCACCAACATTTGGATTTAGTTTGGATATTTAAGAAGAATGATGGTGTTTGACCTGAAGGAAGAGGTAGTCTTGACCAAAACTAAATGAAAGATCAGAATTTGTACAACAACCGATCCCAAAATCTTGCGATGAAAAACTTAATTTATCATATATACAGTTGTTGTTAATCATGGTTCCTTATAGATTACTAAATAAATCATACATAGAATATTTATAGACAAACATAAAATGAAAAAAAAATTGTTGGGTTTTCAATATTCTCGCTAGACCTAGCCAAAAGTCTCCAAAATGTGTTTGTGATCGAGACCAAATTCACCGTGTGACCTGCTCCCACTGGGGCCACTACTATCTCTAAAAATAGTATAAAATTTTGTAAGGTAAAGATCAAACAAAAGGGAAAGAAAAAAAAAATTATTGTAAGGTAAGCCCACAATTAAGACCAACACATTCTAATCTTCTAAACTCAAATGGTTAGCAAATTAAGCTCATTATAATAACACCGAACCCGTCAATATCTCCCCATTATCCCACGAGAAATTGACAAATTTAGACAACCTTAGAATGGAGAATTTAATGTTCTCCTTCTGTGACCAAGACCAAAACTATACTCCATCCCATATATAAACACACGACAAACAAATCAAACCCTAACCCAAAAAGTACGACAAATTAAACACATCAAAATTAGTCTACATCTAGCTTCTAAATCTACGACTAGCTTAGCTTCATTTCCATGGATTCAGTCGAAGTCCCTCAATTCTTCATATGCCCAATCTCCCTCCAAATCATGAAGGATCCGGTCACCGCCGTCACCGGAATAACCTACGAGCGATCGAGCATCGAACGGTGGCTCTTCGTCGATAACAACACGGCTTGTCCGGTCACAAACCAACCCCTA